CCTTCCTTATCACTAGTCTTTTCTAGTTGAAAAGATAAAATTAATCCCATAAATTGATATCAAAATTATGGTATCAGAAAAAATTATTCTATTTAAAAATAAATCTTTGAATTTATGTTATTTCATGCCTAATAATGATTAACTGAATATCTATGCTTTTTGATATTTATCGAATGGTATTTAATTTCAATTGAAATCGAAAATACATTTCCGGTAAACATTTTTTTTATAACATCAAAATCTAAAAAATTTAAAAAAAGAAATTATTCTAGAAAATGTATTTAAATTATTTCGCATATATAAATTTTTTTGTTAAGATTTTGATTATATTATTAATGTATAAAATTTATTCATTAATATTTACTAACGATGAAATTATTAAATATTAAATTATTAATGTAATAATGCTAATAATATTAATGTATTATTGACATAATAAATTTTCATATTATAATAATTGCAAATGATTTCCTATTTATTGGTATTGTTATTCTTTTTTTTCCTTTTTTTTTAACTTTCATTATTATAATATCATTTGCAATAATTTAAAAAAAAAGTCATTTCAAATCGTTTAAATTACATATAATTTTTTTTCAGTCATTTAAAAATCAATTATCGAATAATAATTATTTGACCTACTAAAGGAATTTTGGAAATTATTATTGAAGCAATATTTTGAGCTAAAATTGAAACAATAAAATTTTCAAATTTTGATAATAATTTCAAATTTTACCAATTGATTACGATTTCTTTTATAATTTCAGGATTATCTATTGGAAGATTGGTGTACCGAAGTTGGCAAGGAAGTTTGGGAGCAAAAACCGGAATTTGCAGTTATACATGTACAAGGATTGCGTAATGCTGGAAATCCTGACGTTCTTTCTAACAAAATTTTAAAAGGGTTATTTCGTTATTTGTAAAAATTAAAAAAAAAAAAACAAAAAAATTTGCATATCATAAATGAATAGTGAATGAGAAGAATGATTCATTAATTTATTGTAACTATTTTTTGAAATTTAACCGAATAACTTTTATTACATTAACCAATTACAGTAATACGACGGTGTTACAGTAATACAACATTTTCCATGAAATTTCTGCACTAATCAATTATAATCAAATTAGGATTTAAATTATCCAGAAGTGCAATTGGCAAATGTCACATTTGAATAGCATGGTTGACATTTAACATTGTGTAGATTTAATACGTATTGGGAATGCTTATTGCTATGAAACAGGAAAACCCGGAAAACAACTAATGTTTGATCCGAAAAAGATATTGTAGTGCGCAATATATAATCTTAGCTCACCACAATTTAACTTTCATTTGTAACAAATAACTTACTATCTTAACCTATAACCTTTTAGTGAAATAAATTATATTTTTAATTTACATACAAATTAAATATCCAATATTTTAATATTTTAAAAGTGCTATCATTTTTAGCATACTATATGATGCAGCAGAAGTACAAGATTTATTTAAAACAAGTCGTTCATATTTTGACACTCGTGAAACGGTACATTTTAAAATGCATAAACTTTTTTCACAGAAAAAAAAATTAAATCATTAAATTTTAATTTTAACAATTTAAATTAAATTTCAGTATACTTTATCTAATGCCAACCATTGTACCCAAAATCTGATGTTATCAATTGAAACATTCCATAAAATATTTATCCATTAATGCTATTTGTTAAAATTACCTCCTAATTTTTTAATTTCCTAAAATTCGAAAAAATTTTAAAGTTAAAAAAAAAGTCATCTATTTCTTATTCTAAAATAAAGGAATAACGTATAATTTTCCTGTTCTGTTTTTCTATTCTAAAATTTTTGAAATTTTTCGGAAATTTCAAAATCAAATGAAAGATTCATTTTTTTTCGCCTTTTTTTTCGAATAAAAATATATTTTTTTTTCGAACATACTTTTTTTTCCGAATTTTTTGCTTTTTTTTTCGAATATTTTTTTTGTGGCAAAAAATTCGAAATGTTTGAAATTTGAAATTTTTCCATAAAAAAGCTTTTTAGTCTCTCAACCACTTTTTTTTCTTTTTTTTTTGTCTCATACTTTTTATGTCATTCCTCATTATTTTGTATTTTTCTTCCAACTAAAAAAAAAAGATATTTTCAAAGTTATGCAACATGTTTGATGCCAGAAAAAAAATATCAAACTAATTTTAACCAATTAGCAATTTAAATGAAATTCTAAATTAGCTAATTTAAATGCAATTAAAAAGTATTTGTAATTCCATAAGGATAAAAGGAAACGGGATGTGATACCTTTTAAAATGGATCAACGAACTTTCCCAATAAATTTAACATTGTTAAGTGAGAAAATATTTTATTAGTAACAATATCAATTATAGCTTAATATCCGGAATAATGGCTTTTTCAGGGTCTTGGATCAATTTACCTATTTCGTAATCATGATGAAGTGGAATCATTTGATCGTTACAGTAATAGCGGTTATAAAAATCTACGTCCTGGTCATCAGTATGAAATTGGTGCTCGAGAATGTGATGGATTCATTTCCAATATATTTAGTAATGCTTCCAGCTCAGCTTCCAATTATTCGTTACGTTATGAAGGCGATTTCTACGTATGTTTCTAACGTTGATTTACACGTATTTTCCATGTATGCTTTCTACGTTTTTTTTTTGAATTTCAAAAATTAACTTTACGGCAAATTACTACGGAATTGATCGAAATTATAACAAAATTTTGATAAATAATAAGATGATTTATTTTATCAATTTTATCAATTACTTTTTCGTTGATTGAAAAGTTACATTTTGAAGATTTAGTCTTATTTATCAAGAAAAAAAAAAAAAAGAAAAGGAATGAAAATGAAATGTATTATCCATTAAATTCCTCGGAATTTTTCGATTTTGCATCCCAATTTTTATAAATTTTCAAAAATTTCAACTTCAACCGAAATATTTCATCATTTAATTTTAGCGTAATGATAGTCAACGAAGTGAGAAATCCGGTGGAAGTAAATCCGTACAAAGCGGTTATTTAATGTCACGTTTCCGTATTTATGGTCGTGATTTTACATTCGTCAATCTTAGCTTGCATACCGTACCTTTTGAAGATATTAAAGAACTCGTTGAACAGGTAAAACATCATTGATGGAAGTTTTTTTTTTTTTTTTCATACTCTCTTTTCTTTCCTTTTTGTTAATGAATTTATTAAATAATTCCAATATATTTTTTTTATCAAAATAAAATTGTTAAATTCAAAAAAAAAAACCATACATCAAAATATTGCTAATTAAAATTTCCAAATTTTATTATTCAAATTTATGTACCAAAAAAAAAACAAATTTCCAATAATATAATTATGGTACCTTTTTTTTTTATCCCTTATATAGCCTGAAACAACCAAAGCTGCACGATTGCGAAGAAGTCAAATTGATATTTTGCTCAAAGAGTTTGTTTTTTTTTTTTCTGTTTTGTTTTATTTTTTTTTTCTTGCAAAAATTTATTGAATTCTTCTGTAATTACTTTTGATTTAAATGGATATTTATCAGTATAATTAATCAAAATAATCATTTGTGTATATGTATAAATCAATTTGTTTCATTATTTGTTGATGTAATTTAAGCAATGAAATTTTGTGAAATTTCTAAAAACATATCTAAATTATTCAAAAATGTTTGATTATTATTTAAACATTTATTAAAAAATATTTAGGATTGAATCGGAAGGATTAAAAGATGATTCAATTCTTGTTGCTGGTGCATTTAATGCCCAATTATTTGAAACACATCTACTTAGTGTATGTTTTTTTTTCCTCTTTTTTTTATGTCTTTTAAATTAATTAAAAAATTTTCATCTTGTTGATTTCAAAAAAAAAAAAAAAAATTAATAAAATAATTTATTCATCAAGGATATGGCAAGTACTCAAAGAGCTACCAGTTATGCAAGAAAAAGTTCTGATGGTAGATTGGAAGGTATTGAACAACGTGATCGTCATGGACGGGTATTTATTTCTTATTACTAATTTATCATTTATATTAATAAATAATTATTTTGTAATATTTGTATCTTATATTAAATAACTTAAAGAAATTATAAATGGTTGAAAATCATTAGAAAAAAAATCAATAAATTATCGTTTTCAGTATATATATGTATTTAAATTTATTAGATACTAACTGATATATATTTATTTAGATACTTATTGATTATAAATTTTCAAGTTGAAATTTGCAAAAATTTCAAATTTTATTTGATTATTTTCTTTGAGTTGTTTCTTTTTCCTTTTTTTTTTTCTATTTTCTCTTTAATTGTATAAAATGATATTTATTCAATGTTAAAATTAGTTATTACAAAAAAAAAATTTAAAAATATCATATTGAAATATCATATTATCATAAAATATCATATTATCATATTTTTATATCATATTAAAGAGTGTACTAACTGTGGAAACTCATCGTTTCGATCTTCATTCCATACATGATTGGTTCTTTCGTCTTGGTAGAGGACAAATGGTTAAAAAATACAATGGTGAACTTGCGCAGGTTGTTTTCGCCGGTAAATTACTGGAAGAATCGGTATTTTTCCAGGTAATCATAATTTTTAATTTTTACATTTTCATTTACATCAATAATAAATAATAATTCCGATAAGTATTTAAAAAAAAAAAAAAACAACCGATTTTTTTACCGAAATACCGATTTAAAAAAAAAACTTACGGTAATGATTGTAGTGTTCTTACGGTAATGATTGTAGTATATTTTTCTCATTTATTTTAAACAATATAATACTGAATTGATTCATGATGGATTGATTCATCTATCATTATCAATTTTAGTATTTCGTAGAATTTATAATTTAAATACATCCGTACAGGTATGAATATTGAAAAATGCCAATACATTTATTTCTTGCAGCCATCACGTCATTATGGTATAAGTAAAGTAACAGGAAAAGAGGAATTCATGAAAAATTTATGTCCAGCTTGGGCTGATCGAGTATTATACAATGAGAAATTAAGCGACTTATTCAGACATGTAAGTTCTACATTGATAACTTGATTAAAGGAAAATGATTAAGTTTGTAGGATAAAAATGAAATTTAATTTCAGGGTAACATTTTAATTAAACATTAGCTTCGAAGTACAGTATAGTATTAATAAGCATATTACGGAAAATATTAGTGAATTTTACATTTGATTTCACACATTTATCTTCTTTCCTGATATAATATTTCTTCCGTTTCAATGTTTTCTTTCAGGATTCATTTTGCGCATCCGGTCTCTACTACGGATTGGTTGGGGAGAAAAAATTTGTTGGACAGCATAAGCCGGTGGCTTTGCATGCTACAATATGCCTTAAATAATCAATTTGTAATATTATGATGCCACAAAATTCAGCAAATCCTATTCAATTGCTTATTTTATATCTTCTAAAATATATAGCAAACAATAACAACAACAAATTTACCAATCAGTCAATCAACCAATCAATCAATCGATCAACCAACTGATGAAGCCATCTGAACGAACGAACTTTCTTTTTTTTTTTTTTCTTTTTTAACTTTTATACTAAAAAGAAAATCTTTTACACTTTATCTCGTATTTATGTATGAAAAAGAAGGAAAAAAAAAAAA